CCCTCCTCGGGCAGGTCTGCCCCGCAGCCCTTCCTTCAGCCCTTCCCTTCTGCGAAACTTTCGTAGTAGCTTATCAGCGAGGATGGGGGTTGAGCAGGGTTTCGCCGATTTAAACGGTTGATGTATGTTCTGCAGCTTGGGCGGGGAAGGCCCTTGATGCACGGTGAGGGGGCAGCTCCCCTGAGAAACCTCACTGAGGCCTCGGGTGGGTCCGGAGGAGCGGGCAAAGTGAACGTTTACTGACTCAGGTGTGCCTAAGCAAAGAAATGTAAATAAACAACCCCCCCCCCGGTACTGGTAAAAGATCCTCCTTACACCGAGTGGTAGGTGTCAGTGGGATACAGGAGGAGTTGGTCTCTCTCGTTCTGCTTGCCCCAACTGCGTGTGTTTTAAACAAAGTAAGCTTCTATGAAGTCAAAAAGTTGCCTTTTTCAAGAAGCTAAAATAAGATTTTCACAGCCACTGTAAGCGTATCGTGATTTTGATTATCAGTCGTTATCTATGATAATAGTGGTAATAGTTTTGCCTCGAAGACCAAAGTGAAGTAGCCAGATCCTGACAGGTACGTGTGCGTAAAGACAGACGCACGGATATTTGCAGGTATCTCATCTCTGCTCTTAGGTCTGTGTTCCAAATCTGGAAATGGTGCGTAAGGTGCTGAGCTCTGGAGCACCCTGACACTTCAGAGCACGATCAGTAGGTGTCACTGTCACTTACGAGTCTGCAGCTGACTTCCTTTACCGGACCTTCTTTGCTTCAAATGAAATTAATGTGACAGCACATTCAGTGCAGAACAGGTGAATTGCTCTGCCAGATCTCATCCATGTGTGTGAACAGCAGTTTTGTTGTTTGGTTTTTTGTTTTTTTTTATTTGCAGTTACTGTCACCTGAATCCTGAATGTAGGGCATCACTGCTCTGAGTTCTTTTGAAAATCACATCATTAGTTCCAGAGTGCACATCGTTATACTAAAAGGATTAATATTTTTGTGTTACAGTGCAGAACAATCAGGTTCTGTCAAACAAGTTGAATTATCTCTTCATAATTTAAATAAACCACTGTTTATAAGAATAAGGCAGTGTTTCATGATTTTGACTCTTCTAGAGATTGGAATCTCCAAAGAAGAGGCACTGGAAGCATTG